GGCATGTGGGATCCTCCCGGACCGGGGCACGAACCCCGTCCCCTGCATCGGCAGGCGGGCTCTCAACCACCGCGCCACCAGGGAAGCCCCATGGCTCCATTTTTTGATTAACCATCTCCCTCCCTTTTTTAAAAAAATAAGTTTATTTATTCATTCATGTATTTATTTATTTTAACATCTTTATTGGGGTATAATTGCTTTACAGTGGTGTGTTAGTTTCTGCATGTATTTATTTTTGGCTGCATTAGGTCTTCGTTGCTGCGCGCGGGCTTTCTCTAGTTGCGGCGAGCGGGGGCTACTCTTCATTGCAGTGCGCGGGCTTCTCAGTGCGGTGGCTTCTCTTGTTGTGGAGCACGGGCTCTAGGCGCGCGGGCTTCAGTAGTTGTGGCTCGCGGGCTCTAGAGCACAGGCTCAGTAGCTGTGGCGCGGGCTTAGTTGCTCCGTGGCACGTGGCATCTTCCCGGACCAGGGCTCGAACCCGCGCCCCCTGCACTGGCGGGCGGATTCTTAGCCACCGCGCCCCCAGGGAAGCCCCTCTCCTCCTTTCTCCTTTTTCCTTTTTTCTTTTTTTTTAATTCCCTGTAACCTGACCACCTCTTATATTAATGAATGCAAATGGCCAATGAAGGTATAATTTTCAACATTAAAGAATTGTAATTTTAAACAAGACTAAAATAGATAGAATTGGAAAGAAGTAATGAAAGCTTGATGTTGATCAGAATGAAGGTGCGTTTTGTAAAACAAAGTATATATAATGTATACATTTTGTAGTCTGTAAAGTAAAAGTGAAATTTCTTCCTCCCCACCAGAATCTTACTCTGTAGAAGTAACCACTTACTAAGTACTTTTGTGTATCGTTCCTGACCCTACTTACTATGTTTTATTTGTATATATAAATTTACGTTATTTTTATTTTTAATATATTTTAATTTAAATTTAAGAAAAAAATACATCTGTATGTATGTACATTGTTTTTATTTTTATAAAATTGGTAAGTGTAAGTGTCCGGTCAGAAGGTATGCATTTTTAAAACTTTGAGGGCTACTGCCCTCCAAAAGGTGTTACCATTCACTGTGGATGAGAGAGTAACTTTTCCAGTCTCTCTACTATACAATATGGAATGTGCATTTTTATCTATCTAAAAACAGAAAACGGGCGTCTTGTTTCTGTTCCATCAACCATACTGCATGTTATTAAACTTCCCTTTTTGTCTTTCAAATAAGGGAAATCTCTATCTTGTTTTAGGTCTATTACCTTTTTTTTTTTTTTTTTCCTTGTGTATTTCATTCCTGTGACTCATTTATTTTGTAACTGGAAGTTTGTGCCTCTTAATGTCCCTCAACTATTCCGTTAATCCACCCACCCACCTCTGGCAACCACTTGTTTTCTGTATCTGTTACTCAGTTTCTGTTTTGTTTGTTTTGTTTTTTAGATTCCACATAAGTGAAATCGTATGGTATTTATCTTTCTCTGTCTGACTTATTTCACTCAGCATAATACCCTCCTTGTCCATCCATATTGTCGCAAATGGCAAGATTTCATTCTTTATTTTTATTTATTAATTTTTTTTTGCGGTACGCGGGCCTCTCACTGCCGTGGCCTCTCCCGTTGCGGAGCACAGGCTCCGGACGCGCAGGCTCAGCGGCCATGGCTCACAGGCCCAGCCGCTCTGCGGCATGTGGGATCTTCCCGGACCGGGGCACGAACCCGCATCCCCTGCATCGGCAGGCGGACTCTCAACCACTGCGCCACCACGGAAGCCCGTATTGACCTTCTTTTTAAAATAAGTAAATAAATATATTTATTTATTTATTTTTGGCTGCATTCGGTCTTCCTTGCTGCACGCGGGCTTTCTCTAGTTGGGGCGAGCAGGGGGCTACTCTTTGTTGCGGTGCACGGGCTTCTCATTGTGGTAGCTTCTCTTGTTGCGGAGCACGGGCTCTAGGCACGTGGGCTCAGTAGTTGTGGCTCACGGGCTCAGTAGTTGTGGCTCGCGGGCTCTAGAGCACAGGCTCAGTAGTTGTGGCGCATGGGCTTAGTTGCCTCACGGCCTGTGGGATCTTACTTCCCCGACCAGGGATCAAACCCACATCCCCTGCATTGGAAGGCAGATTCTTAACCACTGGACCACCAGGGAAGTCCCTAGTCATAGTTTTTTACTTACTTTTTAAAATTATTTTTATTTAGATCGTTGGTCCAAAGATTTTATTTTTTCCTATGCAATAGTATCCTTGGATATAAAAACTACATATACAGGTACAAAATATGTATCATATCCATGTACATACATATGATCAAAGTTATTGTGTTCTTTTCACTAACTAAAGCCTTTTTTCTTAAAGATTAAATATCTGAAATATTAGTAAGAGAAAAGCCAGACCACTGGCTAACAGTCGTTAGTTACCAGACCCAGGGCTTCAAGTGTGAATTAAGTGACAGTGGCTGCAGTTACTCATCTCTGCTTTTCCCACACAGAAAGGATTCATGTTTATGAAGACAAGAAGGAAGCCTTGCAAGCTGTCAAAATGATCAAAGGATCCCGATTTAAGGCTTTTACAAGCAGAGAAGATGCAGAGAAATTTGCTAGAGGAACTTGTGATTATTTCCCTTCTCCAAGCAAAACCTCTTCACCACTTTCTCCTGTGAAAACAGTGCCGCTCTTTAGCAGTGGTGGGTTAAGAGGTAAATTATCTGGCAGTTCGCATCTGGCATTACTGTCAGATTTACTCCTGGGTATTTTGTTCCCTCTTTCCCGGTAACTAGTTCTCTACACCTTTGAGAGCAGCCCGGATTGCTGGGAACAGAGAGCTGAGGCCCAGGCCATGGCGCAGCTGGAGGACGGTGGGTCAGTAGGCTGGCCTGGGTGGAGGTGACAGGGGCCAAGTGGGTCAGGCAGCTGCTGAGGGGACCGTGGGAGAAGCCGTGAAAGGGCCTGCGTCGCCTTCTGTTCTGCCCCCTTTGTCACACACTTGTCCCTGCGGCCTGTTGGGTTCAGGGCCCTTTGAGGTGCTGAGACCTTTCTAGTTCCCCCCTTGAAGCTACACCTCCTTCTAGGACTGTGGCACCTGCTTGGCTGCAGACGATTCTGCGGTAGCTGAACCGTCCAGCCAGAAAGCTGGCCAGCGCCACTCCCAGCTCAGGACCAGGGTCTTGTGAGGGGCCTTTGCTGTCAGCATCGTACAAAACCCCAGCATCCCAGCCTCGTCTGGTCCCCTCCGCTCCGTGGGCTCACGGCTGCTCTGCTCCCCAGGCTGGCTGGGGTTCCTGAGGATGTGCCTCTCCTTGCAGACAGTTGGCCTTGGATCGAGAGTCCGTGTGCCACCTCACGGAGGCCAGAGTGATTTGGGGCGCTTAGAGGCCCCTCACACTTGGTCAAGGTTCCTCAAGATAGCCTTCCTACCTCCGCAGGTGTTGTGATTTGGCAAAAGTTCCCTTGGCCTTTCTGGGGGTGCCCCTGGCTCTTGGAAGGCCCCTTGCGAGTGTGGGCGGCGTCCTGGCCGCGTGCCCTCGCACTCCTCCCCCACCTTCTCCGCAGAGCCCTTCCCTCGCTGCCGCGGGCTGGGACACACATCCGTCGGCTGTGGATCATCTTGTTTCTCACTTTTCACTACAAGGAGATCGTCAGCCTCTGTGGGAAAGATTTTTCTTGCCCTCAGTGAAGCGTGTAGTGGATGATGAGAAAATGTGAACTTAAATGTTCTTAAATTCTGTCTCTTAACAGATGGGTTGTACTTGTCTGATTCGGAAACAGCAAGCAAAGAGCGAGCAAACAGTTATAAAAGTCCTCGTACACAAGATCTCACGGCCAAACTTCGGAAAGCTGTTGAGAAGGGAGAGGAAGACACCTTTTCCGACCTCATCTGGGGTAACCCCCGGTATCTGATTGGCTCGGGGGACAACCCGACCATCGTACAGGTAAGCTGCTTCCAGCACCATTAGCATCAAGACGGCGGTGATGAAAGTGAAGCCCAAAATCTGTGGCTTTGTTCCAGGAAGGATGTCGGTACAACGTCATGCATGTTGCTGCCAAAGAGAACCAGGCTGCCCTGTGCCAGCTGACCCTGGAGACGCTGGAGAACCCCGAGTTTATGCGGCTCATGTACCCGGACGACGAGCCGCATATGCTGGAGAAACGCATCTGCTACGTGGTGGACCTGTACCTCAACACCCCTGACAGAGTGGTGCGCCTCGTAGCGGGGCTCAGGGCGGAAACAGTGTTTGGGTGTCTATTTACCGCGTCAGCTCAGAGGAGATGTGCGTTTCTTGAGGTCAGAGAGCTCAGAAAGATACGGCTGGACCCAGACCCGCTCACACGTGAGAAGTGCACCCCGCTGGCTGGCGCGCCGGGGTCCCAGCTGGGGTGGAGCTGTCCCCAGGACACGTCCCTCCTGGCCTTTGTCCAGAGAGTCCTGAGCTGACAGGCGGGTGAGCGAGTGCCACAAAGCTCAAGAGAGAAGGACGTAGAAAGGTTTTGGCGCCTTGTCGTCTGGGCTCTTGGATGTGTCTTTCTTTAAATTTTTATTTCATTTATTTATTTATTTTGGCCGCATCAGGTCTTAGTTGGGGCATGCGGGATCTTTCATTGCGGCGCCCGAGCTTCTCTCTAGTTGTGGCATTGGGTTTTTCTCTTTCTAATTAAGATGCGTGGGCTCAGTAGCTGCGGCACGCGGGATTAGTTGCCCAGCGGCACATGGGATCTTAGCTACCCGACCAGGGATCGAACCCACGTGCCCTGCATTGGAAGGCGAATTCTTTACCCCTGGACAACCAGGGAAGTTCCAGTGGGGAGATGGTGCACAAGGCTTAAGTAAGGATTCTTGAAACATAAGAGTTTTTACATATTTATATGAGGGAAAACCCAGGGATGGCTGAGAACCAGGGATTGTTTCTGAGAAACCTAGGGGTGTGAGAAGTCGTGGTGGGCAGGAGAGGGAATAAAAAAAGCCTATTGTATTATTTCATAACATACTGAATATGATACACTGAACCCCAAAACTGCAAGCAAGAATAACTTCAATTAACAAGAAAGAAAAGGGGGAATGGAGATAAATTTGGCCATGCTAGCAAAATTAAAGAAGGGCATAAAAGAGAAAATGGTAGTTACATGAAAGCAATAGTAAGTGCGAAACAGGGCAGAAGGAACAAAATCAAAGTGTATGAGACTAAGTGTGAACACAGTAAGGCTGTGTGACACTTCAGTTGGGAAGTGTAGCTCCTACACGCGATGCAGAACACGTGCCCTGTGGGAAATACAGTCTTCTCTTAATGCCTGCAGCGCTCGTTGGAAATACACACCTGTGGATCCACAGAGACCACTGAATAAATTCTTGAAATTAGATGTTACAGGTCACATCCCCTGCCCACAGGCGCTAAGAGTAGGAATCGCTTCAAGCGCCTGGACTGTGTAGCAAGGCCGGGGGCTCCCCAGAGGGTGTGGTGTGGAGGAAAAGCTGGGTCACCAGGCATGGCGGGAGGGCCCACAGCCCGCCGGCTGCGCGGGAATGGGGCAGAGGCTGGGGTCACGCTGGCGGGGCTCGGAGCAGGTTAGAGAAGGATGTTGTGTGGGTGAGGGAGAGGGGTGGCCAGAAGGAAAGGGGTGTGGGGGGCACGTTGCGGTCTGACGCCCTGAACGCCGAGTGGACGCGGCTGCCCCGATGTGCAGCGGCCCCGGCCCTGTGGGGCTGGCCGGGAGCTGTGCCGATGCTGGAGCCTGGGCCGCAGGGCTGGAGGCGACTCAGGTAGACCATGGACCGGGAAGCACCTGACTGGAGCATAGCTCTGCTCGTTCTTCCTGTGTCGTCTGCAGCTGTGGAAGGCCGGCTGGGGGTGCTGGCAGGGCCTGGGTGGCCCGTGGAGCCCCGGCGGCTGACTGTGTGGGAGAGGGGGTGGTGGCGCCAGCAGGATGTTGAGGTGGCGAGATGCCCCTAGAAGGTGCGGAGCAGGGATCAGAGCCGGCCTGAGGGTATTTGCTTGCACAAGGCCCCAGGGTCGCCTAGTGGAGGTGGGGCTGGGGCTGGGGGAGAAGCTCTGGGCGAATGCAGCGTGGCGTCCGGAGGGAGGGACCTGAGGGCTGGAACGTGCGGTGGCCGCAGGTGGACTTGAGCGGGTTCTGTTTGGGATATGCTGCCTCTGAGCCTGAGGCTGTCCAGGTGAAGGTGCCGGAGGTGGTGGCTCCACAGCTCGGGGGCCTGCTGGTCCGTGGGGAGCCCGGGGAAGGATGCCACCAGGGGCAGGTCAGCACTGGAAAACCTCATGAAGTCAGGAGGGGAGACTTGCGTTTGCTGCAACATTAACAACTAGAGGGAGTTCTGAGCACAGAGCAGAGCGGGGTCTTTGCTTCATTCTGGATGTTGTCTTCATCTGTTTACTTTGCTTTTTGAACGTTGATTTTAAGACATTGTACAGGGCCCTGAGTTGTTAAAGCTGCCGTTTGCTGAGCAGCTGTGACACCCTAGCTCTGTTGTAAGCTCCCCACAGGCACTAGACACGCAGGAACTGGGACGCTGTGCTGGGCTCACGCCCTGGCATAAAGGGGGTGTGTGCTAGCATGCCAGTTGCTTTTCAGTTATAAAAGCACTGTCTTTTTATAGTCTTTTACTTTTGAGTGTTTTTGTTTGTTTTACTAAATACCTATTTTTAACCTTAAAGCAACCTTATGAAGCAAAAGAGTGTGTAAGAAGTGAGTGTTCTTCCTTTTCGTCTCTCTCAGGGCTACGACACACCATTGCATTTTGCTTGTAAGTTTGGAAACGCAGATGTGGTCAATGTGCTCTCTTCACACCCTTTGATTGTAAAAAACCCAAGAAATAAATATGATAAAACACCTGAAGATGTAAGTACCTATTAAAATGCTATTACTACATAGTGTTAGAAATGAAAATACATAAAATTACAGTCTGCGATCACAGCTATCGTGACGACTCAGGTAACTCTGTGTGACTGTGTTTGCCTTGTGGCATGTCTTAGAACCCTAATTGTGGAGTAAGATGTACCCTGTGAGGAAGACGCCTCTGTAAAGCCAGGAGGGAGTGAACTGCCTCAGTTTTGCTGATTTTATTTTCTTGAAACTGGTGGTCGGGTTGTTCTCAGCAGCTCCACTGTCTTCTGTCAAGTTCCCTCTGTGAGTACGTCAGCTGACCAGGGTCAGAGAGAGCAGAGGAGGTGGCACTCATGCTGCTGCTGCTGCTGGTGAGAATGGTGGTGATGAGGATGGTGCTGGTGAGGCTGATGGTGACTGACTGACGGATGGTGGAGATGGTGATGATGGTGGGGTAACGTGCTGGTGAGGCTGCTGCTGCTGAAAGTAGCTGACATGTGTTGAGCTCAGTGTGCAGCAGGCGCTGTCCTGAGCCCTCCCTGGTATTCTCACCTGGCCCATACAAGCCTTAGGAAGCAGGCCTTGTCCTGATCTGTCAGCAGTTGGGCACATGTGCCTTAGAGAGGGCAGAGGTGCCTCCGTGCAGTGGGGCGGAGAGGAGAGCCGGCCCGAAAGGAACTGGGCGGTGGTTAACTTGCACCAGGCACTGGAGTTGTGAGCTGGCCTGGGCCTGCCAGCCCTTTGGAAGTAGAATCTGTAAGGTCCGATTCTGGCAGTGCCGTTTCCTCTGTAGTTGCTAGGATTATGTAAGTCGTGCCCACTTCTCTAGAAAGTTTAGAATACAGGTAAGAAGGATAAAGTTTACCGGACAATTCCGCAACTCAGAAATCACCATTATTTTGCATAAATTTGACACAACTTTTTGTGTGCATGTGTATGTATATTTTCTCAATATAAAGTGCTGTTTGGTAACACGTTTTTAGAGCGTTGGACATCTCTCACAATCAGTTACAGAATTTAAAAGAAAATACTTGCACTACTTGAAGGGTCCACTGTGCAGTTGTAGTTTGTTTCTGTCACAGGCTGGCAGGAGGTGGTAATTTTGTGGTTCCTTCTTATTTTAAGGTTATTGGTTCTTTTGTTTTTTTTAGTTGTTTGTGGCTAAAATGTTCACAGTTCTCTAACGGCTGAGAATATCGATTCCTGTAGTTGCAAGAATAAAACTTGTGTTCGTGTTAGATGGGAGTTGTTTATCAACCCAGCCAAACCATAGCAGACAGGCTTCTAGCCAGGGAGGTGCCCAGACCGAAGGTGCGGACGTGTCTGCATCTCTGCTCTGACTTGATGGTGCACCTTAAGATTTCCTTTCCTTGCAGAAAATTAGGAAATGGAGAGCAGCATGAAGAAAGAAGACAAAATTCGCCTGTAATCTCAGAGTTGGTTCTTTGTCCTGGCCCCTCGGAGCCTTTACAAAACAAGAAGGAGGGTTACACTGTTCAACACACGTTTTTTATTGTGGGCTTTATGAGATGCTCAGCATTAGGACACTATCCTTGTTTCATTGACTTTACAACTTGCCTTTATGAAATCATTTTAATGATAAGATGTGATAAATCAGATTTAGAGCATTCACGTACTCTGTTATTTTAAAACAGGTTATTTGTGAAAGAAGCAAAAATAAATCTGTGGAACTGAAGGAGCGGATTAGAGACTATTTAAAGGGTAAGTGGGGAGTGGGCGCCCGAGGTGCGGCCTACGGTGGGCGGCATCTAGGCCGGGCCTTGCGTGCAGGAGTGAAGCGGGGGCTGCTGGGAGCCTCCGAGTTACCCTGGGCTGCACCTCCCGCTCCTGGGAGACCGACTTGTCTGTCATTTGTCTGTTGCCCCTCGACCTCCGCAGCCCTCTTCCTCGGGCACAGCCTGTGGGGCGGCGGGGAGGCGGGAGGGGCCTGCCTGGAGCCCCTCGGCCAGCTGGTCCCCCGCCTTGCGGGTTCACCGCCCCGGATCGCCGCACTCCAGGCCGGGGGCCTTTCAGACCGTGGCCTGCAGGGCAGCGCTTCCCGCTTGGCTTTCGGAGCCTGGCGCCTCTGGACCCAAGCTCCCGGCTCATAGGCCGCAGGGGCGCAAAGGCAGCCAGGGGCGGGAGGCCTTTCCCAGCTCTTCCTCTGCCTTGTTTCCGGGCAGTTTGAGGAGTTGGCCCCGCTCGCTGGATGGCCTGGCCTCGGATGCTTGAGGCTCTTCGGCCTCCCCTGTCTGCCCGTCCTTACTTCTCTCTCGGCGGCCATTCCTATCCGACTCCCCCGTTGGTCTCCGTTTAGTGCAGGGGTCGGCCAGGCCTGCGGTGGTGCCCGGCGGCCACCACTGTCGCTCGCCCGATGTCTCTGGGCCTTTCCTGCATCCCCGTCCCTGTGGCCTCGCTGCCTTTCTTCCTTCCAGGTTGTGATTCCAGGTCTGTTTGGAGACGGGTGTTCAATGATACAAAACTGTAACGTATGAAACAGAAGAGGGAGCTGGGGAGGGAGGGGGTCAAATGTGTCTTCTTTGTAATGTTCCTCCACTCGGCTTCCGCTGCTCTGGTTCACAGGTCCTGCCTCGTGAGAATCTGGCGGGGAGCAGGTGTTTGCCGCCCCCCCACCCCTTCTCCTTCTTTTTACTTCCCCACAGAGGAAGAACGCAGGGCTCGTTACGTGCAGGAGTCCGGCGTAGACTGGCCTCTTGCCCAGGTCCTTTGGCTCTGGAGCTGTGGCGGCCTTTTTATTCACTGTTAGCATCGCTGACTCGCGTGCAGAGCCCGTGGGGTAGCAACTGCGCTGTTTCCCAGGCTGGTTCCCAGGTGCCTGACATCCACTGGGCGCGGGGCTGTCCACGCAGATGGTCCAGCCCTGGTGTGTTTCCTCTCCCAGGTCACTACTACGTGCCCCTCCTGAGGGCAGAGGACACGTCTTCTCCCGTGATCGGGGAGCTGTGGTCTTCAGACCACACGGGCGAGGTCTCTCACATCGGCCACGGTGGAGGTGGCCCCAGAGACCCCATTCTGACCCTGCGAGCCTTTGCAGGGCCCCTGAGTCCGTCCAAGGTGAGCATCTGTGGAAGCTTCTGGAATAGCTCCTGGCCATCCCACCAGAATGCTGGGTTGTTCCAGCCTTTTGCTTTGTGCTTGGTCATGGAGACCAGGACCACAGAGAGTTGTCAGTGAGGCTTCAGAACTTCCCTGGAGAAACGAGTGTCCTGACCCTGTTCTTTCTTTCTTTATTTTTTTAACATTTATTTACTTATTTTAAAATTTATTTCATTATTATTATTTTATTTTTGGCTGTGTTGGGTCTTCGTTGCTGCACATGGGCTTTCTCTAGTTGCGGGTAGCGGTGGCTTCTCTTGCTGTGGAGCACAGGCTCTAGGCGCTCAGGCTTCAGTAGTTGTGGCATGTGGGCTCAGTAGTTGTGGCACGTGGGCTCAGTAGTTGTGGCCCGTGGGTTCTAGAGCGCAGGCTCAGTAGTTGTGATGCACGAGCTTAGTTGCTCTGCAGCACGTGGGATCTTCCCACACCAGGGCTTGAACCCGTGTCCCCTGCATTGGCAGGCAGATTCCTAACCACTGCGCCACCAGGGAAGCCTGCCCCTGCTTTTATTAGCCAGGGCGGGTATGTGATGAGCCGTGCTTCCGAGAAGCGAGGTTTACCTGGGCTAATGCTCCTCACACCAGCGTCACCTGACTCCCCTCCCCCAAGTGCCCACGGCCCTTCGCACAACCATATTGCCCAGGTGGCTAGGCTGTCCGTTCCAGGGTCCTTGGGTTTGTACTGTCACTAGGAAACTTCCACTTGCAGACTCCGGTGTCCACCTTCCAGACTGAGGTACTTCACACACTGACCTGTATATAACCTTTCCTCCTAAAAGAAAGTTGTGGGCTTCCCTGGTGGCGCAGTGGTTGAGAGTCCGCCTGCCGATGCAGGGGACGCGGGCTCGTGCCCCGGTCCGGGAAGATCCCACATGCCACGGAGCGGCTGGGCCCGTGAGCCATGGCCGCTGAGCCTGCGCGTCCGGAGCCTGTGCTCCGCAACGGGAGAGGCCACAGCGGTGAGAGGCCCGCGTAGCGCAAAAAAAAAAAATAGAAAAGAAAGTTGTAACTATCGATAGTTAGTTCCCTGAAACTATAAAAACGTTAGGATTAAATTCAGCTGCATGAAATACCGAAAGCACAAATATTTATTTTCCTGTCGTGTGATGGGAAGGTGACTCAAGGCCCTCGGGGTGACAGCTCTGCAGTGTCTCCCTCGGGGCCTCCTGGGGCAGCTCTGATCCTCAGCCCAGCCCAGGCCTTGCCAGGGTCCCTCCTGGCCTCACCGGGACGCAGCCACGGCCCCTTAGCTCCAGGGCAGGTGGGCATGTTGCCCGCGCTGGGTTGCCTGGTGACGTGGGTGCCTAGCGCAGCTCGACACACTTCTGTTCTAGGCGGAAGATTTTCGCCGACTCTGGAAAACCCCGCCTCGAGAGAAAGCGGGATTCTTCCACAGCGTCAGGAAGTCAGATCCGGAGAGAGGCATCGAGAGAGTGGGAAGGTACTTAAAGGGCACGAAGTGACAGAGGGCCGAGTGCTGGTGTCACCTCGTGTGCTGTGCCCTTGTGTGCTGACTGGGGCTTTCAAAACAGTAGTTCCCAGAAAGCGTTGACTAGAGACTTTTAAGGCCTTTTCACTAAGGTCTAATTCCTTGCGAACGTGCCCCCTGCAGTTTGTGCAGCAAAAGTCTCCGTTAAAAACAGCCCCTCCCGGGGGTGGGGTGGCCGAGCAGCATGACAGCGTGTGGGAGAAGGTGCCGCACAGCCACGGAGATCGAACACAAGAGCGGGCGTGGCCAGAGCTGCTAGTGAGAGAAGCCCCTGAAAAGTGTGTTTTCCACGGTTCAGAAGCTAATTTACAGTGTGAGCAAATAAAGCTCAATTGAATCATTTTAGAAACTTTTTCTCAAAATATGTGCCCAGCTTTAGGTTTAAGACTTGAAAGTGAAAAGGACCCTCAGTGTTCACGTCTGGCCCAAACCAGAATCATCTCCGACTTTGTACGGTTTTATGAGAACCGAAATGTCCTCTGTTAGTGGAGTTGTACCATTTGCCCTTTTTGTGATGGCTCGTGAGTGTCGGTGTGAGCGCTACACTTTGGCTGGCGTCTCCTTTCTCCCCGTGACCCTGGCTCGCTCTGAAACAGGGTCTTACCCCGCGAGGGAGTGCAGTGCACTAACTCAGCCCCACGCTCAGGATGAAATGGAACTGTAGCCAAGGTTGCAGGTGCCGTTTTGGCACTTCCAGTGTCAAATGGCCCTTTTCCGTTTAGTCAGTTCTGTTGAGTTTTTCTTCTGGTCTCACAACTGGTTAATTTGCTTTATTCTTACAGGCAGCTGGCTCACGAGCTGGGGTATCCCTGGGTCGAATACTGGGACTTTCTGGGTTGTTTTGTTGATCTGTCTTCCCAGGCGGGCCTGCAAAAACTAGAAGAATATCTCACCCAGCAGGAAGTGGGCAAAAAGCCCCAACAAGACACAGGAGAAAATGCAGCCTGTCTGCAGGAGGACGCCTCAGCCCTCGGTAAGAACATGCAGTGCGTCCGCGGCTGGCGGGGCCCGTCCTGTGGCCACATCCGTGGCAACCAGCCAGCTTCCTTCTCCTTTTCCTGCCTGTGAGGGGGAACAGCTGGGCCTGGAGCCTGGCATTCCGTCTGCGGGCTCCTGCTTGCCTTTCCCAAGCCATGCTGCAAGTGGTTTTCTGTCGTGGAATCTGAGGAGGGAGGAGGCTTGGAATGCGGGAGTGACTCGTCACAGCCCCCATCCATACCGTCTCTCCCTCACAGGCCGTCACAGGAAGTGCAGCAATTCCATCTCCGTGAGGGCGTTTCTAGATGAAGATGATGACATGAGCTTGGAAGAGATCAAAAACCGGCAAAACACAGCTCGAAACAACACCCAGCCCACGGTGGCTGCTTTTGGAGACTCGGGGTGTGACATCCTTCCCTTGGAGCAGAAGACAGACCTCATAGAAGCCTCAGCCCCGACCACTCCCCTCAGCAGCAAAAATGGGTTTTGCAGCCCCCCGAGTGATGGCACGACCCTGGGTGGGAAGAGGCCAAAGGCCCCAAGTAGGGAGGACGCCTTCCTGTCAACTGTCTCCGGCTTGACTGTGGAGTTTGATAAACTGAATTTGCAGAATCTAGAAAGTAGCTTTTCGAATAAGACACCCAGTCCAACTGTGAAAACTAGAGATAAGAGGATCCTGACATCAAGAGTGAACACAGCAGAAAGTGACGTGTTAGGACCTCTTGCTGCTGACAAACTCGGGAATGACCAAGGAAGGACAGAGCACGGAATGTCAGCTGGAATGGCTGACATGTGCCTGGACCCCGACAGTCCCACGCAAGAGGCCCATCACGGTGGCAGTTCTGAGCCCTCGGGGGTCCCTGCCTCGAAGGAGCCCGTCCAGAGCCTCTTCCTTTTTGGGTACGAGTCGGGAAGCACACACACATGTTGAGGGGCGGTGGGCACAGGCGCCACTGTGTGATTCCCGGGCAGTTCCCTCCTCCCTGGCCTGCCTGACGGGCACTTGTGGTTCCGTCTCCCTCGCGAGTCTATACGGCTCCTCGGGTGTCTTCCAGGCCGGTGGGAGACGGCGGTCTCCTTGCTCACTCGTCCTTGCAGCCGCTGTCCTTCCCACAATCACTGAGCTGTCCTGTGGGTTTAGTTTGTTTTTGGAAGAAAGGTTGTCTTGGGGTCGGTCTCAGTTGCCTGGCTGACGGCCCGTCCCACCTTCTGTTCCATCATCCTGGAGGGGGGTACGCAGAGCGCATCTTCCCAGTAGGGCCGGGGCCGGGGTTTCCTCCCCGCGGGCAGTGCGTCCCCCCGCTGCCTGGATGTCGGCCCGACCGCCGGAGCCTGCGGTGGCGGTGCTGGGCCCTCACACACGCCTCTGTTGCTCTGCTGGTTCTGAAGGGGGTGGTGGTGCCGGGTGCGTGTGTGGTCACGGCTCTTCTGCTTCTCTCGCGCCTTCTAGAGAAGAGCCGTCAAAACTGGATCGCGATGTTCTGGCGGCCCTGGAGTGTGCGGACGTGGACCCTCACCAGTACCCGGCCCTGCACAGGTGGAGGAGTGCCGTGCTGCGCTACTCGCCCGCGGACAGACAGAGGTACCCGCGGCCCGGCGGACGGTGTCGCCATGTTCACGGGGGAGCTCTCCGCCCTGTGGCTGAGGGTGGCAGAGCAGAAGGGGTGCTGCTGAGAGCTGAGGGGGGCGGGGCAGCCAGGGTTCCGCTCCGGTCCTGCGCCCCTTGTGCGGGACGCAGTAGTGTGAGCTTGCAGTCACGTGGGAGGCACCTCTTCCCGGAGCCCCAGCGGTCCCCGGGTCGGGGGCCCGGCTCCGGTCTGTGGCCTCCGTCCGCTCTCCCCACCCCGCCCCGCTGTCCCTGCTGACCGCCCATTCTCGGTTTCCTCAGCTGGCCCAGCCCCTCGCTGAAAGGGAAGGTGAAGTCTCAGCTGCTGGACATCGGTGGCCCTCCTAGCGGCGGCAGCCCCGGGCGCTACAGCCCCGCTCGCAGGGGCCACCTCCACCGGACGGCGCGCCTGGCCCAGCTCGCCGCCTTGTAGGGCCCGTGCGCGCTGCTGGGGCTGTCAGCTTGTTCTTTGGGTTTTAAAAAAAAAAGGAACAAAGGAACAAAGAAAGTTAATGTGTTTATTGCTGAAGTTTCACCCAAAGAAAGAATATCAGTCGTCATTTAGAGGGTAAAAGAATTTTAGAAAATGCAGATGTCCTGTATAAAATGTAGCTTTCTGATATCTGGAGAGAAGTGGGTGAAAGCAAACTCAGACGCAGGTTTTCTGGAAACCGTCAATGTGGTGGCAACAGGCTCCAGTTAGCTGCCCCAGGTGCACAGGAGGGCGCCAGAGAGGCCAGGGTGCCCCGCGGGCCCCCTTCCCCTGACAGTAGCTCCGCTCACTTCAGCTCTGTTCCTAAAACACAGGTGACTTTTGTGCCTCTTCCTTTGCTGGGGAGGGTCTTTGACTTCCTGGTTCGTGACAGAAAAGCCTCTCTGCTTTGCTGGTCAGCCCCGCTGGTTAGGCAGTGGTGAGGTGGGCATCCAGGAGTGAACGAGCCTTCAACGTGTTGGAGACTTGCAGCGACACTTACAAGTTGAGTCATTTAAATGAGCGACTAGAGGATGAAACTAGCTTTTCTCTTGGAAAAAAATCTAGCCGTTGGGAGTCATGCAAATAGTCACACACAGCTCCCTCACCAGCAGTCACTGGAAGGTGTTTTCTTTTTCACCAGCACTTGACCTTTCACAGTGCACCTTATTTAGCTGCCAGTGCAGTGAGTGGTAGTAAAATAATCTGAAAGTCGTTGCCTAGTTTCGAAATGTACCCCATATTTTAGAACGCATTTCAGTTGGATTTGCTTTATGAAAGAGCATTGCGTTTTGGTACAGAAAAGAAAGGTTTACTTTGGATCCCAGCCCCGTTTCTTTAGTGCAGTGTGGGCTGTACCTGCTGGAGGGTCTGTGCGCACAGAGCTTTCTGTGCCAGGACGCTGCAGCCGAGCTGAGGGCTGTTTCTCTGGGTGTCACCAATGACTGCTCACAGCGGCGTTCTGGGGACACTGCCAGTGTTTTATCCAAAGTGAAAACTTCTAACGCTTCTGCGGAGTTCAGTGCCTTTTGTAAATCACTTTTGGTTTTCCCGAACATACTTTTTGAGAATATACAGTGATAGGAAGTAGACGTGAGATTTTTTAGTTGTAAATATTCTGAATTTAAATTTGTGTAATAAAAAAAAAAAAACCAAAAACTTACTTCTTTCACACGATAACGAGAAACAGGAACCAAGATTTGGATTTTAAAATTCAAAAGGCTGTTACACAGGGTGTTTTCACTTGTGTAGCAGACAACTTAAGTATAAGACAGAAAAATACATTCTGTTCTAAAAACCAAATGGCATTTTTAAAAGACAGCTCTATTCTCAAAGAAATCAGAACACAGTTGTAGTCATAGTGATGATCTGTTTTGTCTACAATTTGACCATGTGCCGTCCTATATATTTTTGTAAGTATTCAGATGGAAGTTAAAGTGATCTGCCCTTATTTTGCAGACTTCTGCTCCTGTTTTCTGAAGTTTAGGCCGCCTTTGACTATTTCTCCACTTGTTTGTATAAGTTGGCCCCGGTTCCACTGAATGCATAGTCATGTGTCCTGTGGTGATTTTGTCTTTTTAAAACTACTTAATGAAATAAATTATTTTTAAAACCATGTGGTAATCATTCTGAGCTTTCAGGAAGACTCTCTTGCCTGTGCCCAAAGTGTCCTTTTTAGCAAAATTTTAAGCAGTGTTTTGGTTAAACAGAACATTAATCTGAGAGTGGTTTATTTGCTGTTTGGGGCCCTTTCCCTCCTAACACTGTTGTAAAAAACCTTGGCATCAGTTAAACTATCGAATATTTTGTAACTGCCCTGGGAAATGGGGAGCCTTTTTCTGTGACATTGACAGTCAGTGTGTAGTTTCTTCAGTTGGGAAGAGGTGACAGGAACCCTCTGAGCGCGGTGGGGGGGGGGGGCGGCCAAGGTGCCCCGGGCTGCATGCAGGCGGCTCCCGAAGGTTCCCCGCTCCTGGATCCAGACGGACCCTCCGGGATAGTGTTTGTTTGGATGTTTCCAGAGGCATTCGCAGCTCAGAGGGAACAGCTGTGGGGTGACTGCCTCATCAGGCGTCCCCAGCCGGGTTTGCCCCCCAGGCTGCTGGAACCGGGAGCAAGGCCCGCAGGGAGGGGGGCGGGGGGGGGGGGGGGGGGGGGCGGCCAAGGTGCCCCGGGCTGCATGCAGGCGGCTCCCGAAGGTTCCCCGCTCCTGGATCCAGACGGACCCTCCGGGATAGTGTTTGTTTGGATGTTTCCAGAGGCATTCGCAGCTCAGAGGGAACAGCTGTGGGGTGACTGCCTCATCAGGCGTCCCCAGCCGGGTTTGCCCCCCAGGCTGCTGGAACCGGGAGCAAGGCCCGCAGGGAGGGGGGTCTCTTCTTACACGTGCCCTCGGGCTCCTTCCTCAGCCGTCTCAAAAGAAAGTATTTTGGAACAAACAGCAACACAGTCAGTAGGAACCACTACTGTTCCCACTGCTGTCCGTTCAGGATCCCTCCTGTTACACGGGCTCTTGGGGTGGTTTTCCATCTTGGTCAAACGCAGGATGACGTTCCCGACGTTTCAGAAGTTCTCGGTCATCTGTCCTACCTCGGAGCGGTTTCCAGTGCGACCTCCCTGGGCCCCTGTAACTAACTGACCCCGTCCAAACACCACTGTCCTGCTCCTGGGCTCCTTTCCTGTTTCTAAAATGCTGCCTTGCTTCTCAAAGGTCAAGTGTAAAGGGTGGACACGCCACGGAAAAGCCAGGTCTGCAGACACGACAGCAGGGTGGCCGCGGTGCCCGAGGCCAGACACCTGCTGCCGCCTCTGGCTTCTCTGGTCTCAGACACTAGCACAGCCCCTGGATGACTTGTCTGACTATTTCAACAGAATGGTGTGTGCTTTGCTGCTTTTACTAACCGAGCTCACTGTCCTGGGTCAGGGCCTCTCGCTGAGGCCCCTGGTGGGCAGACACCCTGCAAAACTGTCAGCCCAGGGTGCACAAAATACTGGGCAAAGAGCTTTCTGCTGAATCTATCTCAGCAGGTTTGGGGCTGCTGTTTGTCATGCTGCACGGGCTTCCTGTTTCCTCTAAAACATTCACAATTAGTACTTTGAAAAACCAGTAAAACACAATTTCATTTTGTAGGTGTTTCCAAAACTGACAGAAATGGATCGAATAGTTGCACTGATTGCAAAAACGTTCATAACCACTTCCTAGAAATTGTACCTCCTCCTAAATAAACGGAGATTTGGGATGGACGTGCTGTATCTAAATATTTTAATCCACAAGCATAAAAGATTAATAGCCACAGGCAAACAGGGACTGAACTGTCAGCCAGACACTTTATTGAAACAGGGCCCCTCCTGGTCCGTCACTGCCCAGCCCCTCCCACGAGAGCAGCAGGTCGAGTCACCTCCCTCACCTGCCAAGGTGCCCCTCCTCTGTCGGAAAGGCCTAGCAACACACGTGAGTTCAGATCCAACAGTGTCAGGGCTGTGTGACTCGGGAGTGAGAAATGAGTTTTCAAAGCAAGAACCAGATGAGGAAAATCTTCAATCGATGAAAAGTGACAGAGTTCTAGGAAATGAAAAGAGCGCACAAAGCAGCGAAATAAGTTACGAATGGAAAGAAGCGCTGGTGCCCGCCGCCTCCTGCCTGACGGGGCTCTGCTGACGGACAGCTCGCTGCGGCGTCTGCCGCGGCCCCTGCGTGGACGGCACCTGGGGGCCTTGTCCAGTCCCTGAAACGGGCCTGAAACAGGCCTGCTTGTTCCTGTTCCTGAAACAGGCTCATCCTGGAGGACGAGAGTGAGGCAGAGACACTGCGAGAGACAAAGCTGATCTGACCTGAGTGCTTCCCTTCTGGATCCTGGGCCAGAGCTCAGCGCTGCTTCTGGATCCTTCTCTCCGGCTGCCGCGCCCTGGAGCCCTGGAGCCCTGGAGCCCTGGCCCCGCGGCGCGGCCAGTGGGGGGATGGGAGGAGCCCGCGGTCTCGGTGGCACCCACACCAGGCCGGCAGAGGGCTGGGGGGGAGAGCGGGGCCTCGAGGCGGCCCTCAGGAGCGGGAGGTCTTGTCAGGAGGCATGAACCCCGTGTCCCCGAGGGTCCTGAGGGCCACTCGGCCATCTGGCCGGACTACCAGGTGGGTAATGCTGCCGTTGTTGAGGGAAAGGCGGAGCCAGCCTTCTGGAGGGAACTGCAGCGCCCTGGAGGAGAGAGCACAGGCTGGGAAGGGGCCCACCCCAGATGACAAGGCCTCCGGGGACTTCGCTGGGGCTGGGGCCAACACCCGCAAGTCCCTCCCATTTTCAAACAGGGTTTCTCAGAGGAAGGAACTGTCGGGCGGATGCCAACCCATCAATCAAACAAGGGGGAGGTGACAGCCCAGCGCCTCTGGGACGGGGGATCAACCCAACTCAAGGCTTGCACGTGAGTCACAAACACACTAGTTAACAAATGCATGCAACTGAATTTGTTCTTCCAGTGTCACCAAAAGGGGACGGGGGCAGCCAGAAGGTGTGGCAGGGGCAAAACCCACAACCCCGGAGCACTTCCATGCTCTTAACGCTTCGTAGGCACAGTTAGTATTTGCTGAAGAGCCCAGCAGGACTACAGCCTCCGTCCGAGCCACTGGACCCCTTTATGCCCCAGGACACTGGGGTGAACAAGCGGCATCCCTGTGGCTCGCCACCAACTGGCACTCCCTCTGTCGAGAGTTTTGCCGACTTGAAGGATTAACTACCTACACGCTGCTTTTGCTCAGCGTCACCCTCACCACTTTCAAAACTGCCCTAAGTTAGGGAGCAGAGCGCCCTCACGTGTCCCGGGGGCACAGGCCGCTCCCGGCCCCGACGTCTCCAGCCGGCCCTCAGCACTGGGGTCGCCCCTAGTAACACTGGGTCAGTGCTGTCCCGGGATATGGGAGGACGCGTGTTCACACAGCCCCGAAGTCGCCCTGAGCGGCACACGGGCTCGGGCTGCCCCCGAAGCCCAGCCCCTCCTCCCGGCAGCTCTCAACCCGGCCGGAACCCTGGCGCCGCAGCCTGCTCCCCTGGCGCAGGGCTGCTCGCCCCAGGCCACGCTGGCGGCTTGAGGGTGAGCGAACGGGCCCTCGTGCAAAGGGGGGACCCCCTCAGCTCCTGAAGCACCTGCGGGGCACCTTCAATGGCCCTGGGGGAGGCTGGGTCCTCGCTTGCGCTAAGTGGGATGTGGTCAAGCACACGAGCACCCAGCTGGCCTTCCCAGGTCCAGGGCCCTCCGTGACTCTGCCTGGGGCTCAGCGCAGGCAACACTGCGAGGGCCCTGGACCTCTGGTGCCAGGACGAAGGGACGTGGTTGCCCCACGGACACAGGAGCCCCGCAGGAGCAGCTGGAACAGCCAGGGACTAACGCGCTCACGGGTTATCACCCTGCACGAAACAGATCCGTGGGTCCTTCGTCACACACGTTCCAATTAACAAACAAAGGGACATATGAAACCATTAAGCAAACACCACCGCGCAACCACGGGGGCAGGAGCCATCGACAGGTGCTGAAACCAGTCGGGGGACCCCAGGGAAACGGGCGCTCGCGTTGCCTCCTACAAAGTGGGACTTCGCAGCGGGAACGGCCGCGCACAGCGCCTAAACCAAGCGACCACGTCAGCATCGCCCGGGAAAGGCCGCCCACGCGGGGCACCTCAGTCTGGTCTGTTCCCACCAAAAACATGCAGTCGTGAGATAGCCGTTCTACCAGACCACCGGCTGGGCCTGGCGGGCACCATCAGAC